CGGGGCAGGGGTTAGCAGTAGAAACACAGGGAAAATAAGGGGCCTTTGTGCTGCTGGGAGACTTCTAGGGGAGCAGGGTTTTATGTTGACGGGAGTGGTCTTAATAAAACCATCGTGCAGACTGGCCCATGTGGTTGTAATTAATACCCTGCCTTCGAGCAGGTAGCAGGCTCTAGGCTTTGCCATAGATGGCAAGAGCCCCCTCCTTCTGCCGTCCATCTCCCGCACACGGCTTCCCACCCGCCCGCCCTCCAGCTCGGGGGAGCTGGGGAGGGGGCCGAAGACAGAGCAATTAGTTCATGCTCCAGTCCAGACACCCAAACATGGTTGGAGGCCAGCTGCAAGGAATATTTGAAATAAATGAGCTGCCTGGGGCCAGGAGTTTGCTGTGTTTTCTGCGCGGGGCCATGGCAACCAGGGAGGAAATCATGAGCTAGGGATTGGGCTCTAGAATCAACAAATGATGTCCTGGCCTAGCAAGCTTGGAGGAAGCCACTCAGGGCACTCTGAGGGTTTCTTGGGGTTCAGCTGCCGCCGGGCAGGACTGCCCGAGCATCCTCCTGGTGTACTCAGCAGAATCCTGTCCCAGCTTCAGCCCTCCGAGCCCTCCATGGGGCTCTGACTTTTTCTTTTCTTTCTTTATTTCTTTCTCTCTTTCTTTCTCTCTTTCTTTCTCTCTTTCTCTCTCTCTCTCTCTCTCTTTCTTTCTTTCTTTCTCTCTCTCTTTCTCTCTTTCATTCTTTCTTTCTCTCTTTCTCTCCCCCCCCTCTCTTTCTTTTCTTTCTTTCTTTCTCTCTCTGTCTTTCTTTCTTTCTCTCCCTCTCTCTCTTTCTCTTTCTTTTCTTTCTTTCTTTCTTTCTTTCTTTCTTTCTTTCTCTCTTTCTCTCCCCCCTCTCTTTCTTTTCTTTCTTTCTCTCTCTCTTTCTTTCTCTCCCTCTCTCTCTTTCTCTCTCTCTTTTCTTTCTTTCTCTCTCTCTTTCTTTCTTTCTTTTTCTCTCTTTCTCTTTCTTTTCTTTCTTTCTTTCTTTCTCTCCCTCTCTTTCTTTCTTTCTTTATTTCTCTCCCTCTCTCTCTCTCTCTCTTCTTTCTTTCTTTCTCTTTATCTTTCTTTCTCTCTTTCTTTCTTTCTTTCTTTCTCTCTCTCTTTTTCTTTTCTCTCTCTCTCTCTCTCTCTCTTTTCTTTCTTTCTTCTTTCTCTCTCTCTCTCTTTCTTTCTTTCTAAAAGAGAAAGCTAATGCTTCTCTGGAACTTTTCTTCCTGGGCCAGAGAACAGCTGCTGGTCTGATAATGCTATTCCTGGGCAGAGGGGATGTTCCTGCCAGAAAAGCCCAGGCCGAGGGCAGCTGGCTAGATGGAAGGTGGCACTGACCTTGCCCCGAATCTGTCTTCCCACCCAGCCCAGCGGCAGCCTGTTTGGGTCTACTTTGTAAGCAGAAAAGGCAAAGGCCTCACGAATCCCTTCCCTGGCTCTTCTGAGGGTGCACCTTCCAGCCGCCCCTAAGAATGTGTTTTAGAGAAGCACAGAAGACCTAGTCTGGGGACCCTAACTTCAAGTTCAAGTACCTCCTGCATCTGAATCACCAGGTGACCTTGGGGAGAAAAAGCAAAATCTCAGAATCTTTGATGCAGTAGGTGGAGCCTGGGAATCTGCATCTTGAA